GCTCTGGATGAACGGCTGAGATGTGACGAGGCTCTGGCAGATCAGATGATACTTGACTTGACTCAGCAATGGAAGCTGTGACTCGAGTTGACTCAGGGGAATCAACTATGACTTTTGACCTCTGATGGCTAGCAGACGAAAGTTCATGGACCGGATTCGTGACACTTAGTGTCAGAACTGTCTGGACACACTTAATTTGTAGCCCATGTAAGTGATAGTATTAGGCAAAGGAACATTCTCATTCTAGAAAGCATTTTATTGGACAAAGAAACTATAAAGACTGCAGTGAACAAGTCATTTTGGTCCATCTGGTAAAAGCTTATTTGGTCAACTTTTAGGAGTATTTTGGTTACGTGAGGGACTTATTTTAATGGCATTTTCTCATCGAAAGTCAAATATTCTTGCATATTTGTCTATGGACACAATGAGCCGCTTAGTCTGGCCTCAGAGCCCACAGATATGGAGTAAAAGACAAAACTTAGATTTTTAATTACATGGGGTTTTATTTTGTTAGTGTTTGTCATCTAAAATCAATTATTCTTGCATTTTTATCTTCTGGCTGTTGTCCTTTTGCTCATTAATCAATGTTCACTGTCAAAACAGTCTGGACACTTAATTTGTTGTCCATATTAGTACTCAATCTGTTTTTAAGGCTTTTCTGAATGTTTACTGCGATTAAACAGCAATGAAAATGATGATTTCATGAAAGTTTGTTGATATAATTAGTCTATCATTTTCTAGTCGTATACTCCTAGGCCTTAAACTCATTTAACACAAGATTAAGTGGGCGTTAAGTTTTGTAAACAGATTATGCTGAATTTCGGTCCAAGCTCATTTTAACAACTTATTTTTCACTTTAAGACCCCATACAATCAATGACAAATGCCTTTTTCTTTCCGGTCACATATTTTCTGTTGATATACTATAGTCAGTAGCTTTTGTTTAGTAGCAAGCCATTTACTATTTGCTAATGCTAGCCAGTTTCAGATGTAATGGGGAACGACAGTCTCATTCTTGAAAGCAGTTTATTGGATAAACAGTTGTTTAGGTCCTTCTAAAGTCCATTTTATTTTACTTTTGGTTTTTGCGTATCCACATTTTTGTCATCTTTCAGGAGTATGCTGGAATATCATTGGCCTCAGAGCTAATAAACATGAACTGAAAGCCATAAAACTTAGATTTTTATTACATGGCTTCTTAATGTAGATGAAAGTTGTGGTTACATAAGCCTATTGTGTGCATTTGCCACATTTACATTAAACTCGTAACAAAAGCTCATGAGAATCTAAGCCCCATGTTTCTGACGTTACGCTTAAGCCAGAAGGCTCATCTCCAGCATTGAGAGAAGAATCTGACCCACATTTCTGCTATGTGGGAATTCATGAATGTTGGAAACTGAAAACGCATTACAGATAAACGAAGCACTTGCATTTTACGGCTGGTGATATTTTCTGAGTCTCCCGCTGGTTCTGTTCTGTTATTGCTTCCTCAAAGAGAAACATTTGAATATCATAGACAAGCAAACTGGGTATCAACCGGACATTTTAAGCTTTATGTTGGCAATGTAATTTGTCAATGACACACCATTCTTAGTGATGTTTTTTTTTTTTTTTAAAGAAGGAATGCAAAAAGTTATGGAGTAAGGGAGAGTCATGCATATGTATTACAGCATAGGCTTGATTTACTGCAGCACACTGAATGGAAAAGGGGGGAAATAAAATATATATTATATTTATAGACTGCATGCAAAACTTATTTACGTACTAAAGTGTCTATCTTTAAATTGCCTGATAGTATTTCTTACTATATTGAGTTGCTTGGCTTGTACTGCATCTTGTGTGCTGGTCCTGTGTGCTAAAGGGCATCCATCCATCCATCCATCCATCCATCCATCCATCACCAGATGGATTGTCTGATGCACTCTCTGGCAGTTATATATTATTTTATTGCCAACTTATGTCATTAAATATAATTTTTTTATAATAATAATAAAAATAATATATTGTTATATTATATTGTTATATTATATTATTATTATTATTATTATTATTATTTAGTTTATTGAATAAATCATTCATTATTCTCATGCTTACCTTGAATTTGCATGCATAATGTATGCTTCAACTTTAACCAGTTTTAAATAATTGTTTAAACCGTCTAATCATATTAATTGAAATGTGATTACATGAAACACGAGCTGTATAAATCAGCCCAATATCTTAATAATGTTGTAATTCAAGTGTAATTTCAAAATGTGGTCACACTAGCCAGGTGTTTTAATAGACGAATTAGTGGTGTGAATTTATATCTGTTTGAAACAGAAAGAGAGTCATAGTCTTTGACCGTGAACATGGTCAGCTTTTAACCCCAAAAGAGAAAGTGAGTATAAAACGCTGCCAATTTGTAAGGTAGGGTGCGACCATTACAGTGTTCTGAGCTATTAAGCTCACAGAATGTCACTCAAAGGTTAATTGCAGTGAGTGACCTACACAAGAACCCTTTTTGTGGATCACTTCGAACGTGTCTCTTGAAAGAGTTTGTACCCAGCGATGAAAATTGCCAGTCTCAATCGTGTTTCATGGATTGAGTGAAGTGGGATTAATCGCATGAGGCGTTCTGTTCAGAGTGAACCAGCGTTTCTAGATCCTCAATACTAGCTAATGCACAACACGTCCAAAATGTAATTACCTGGGCTGGTTTTGTTGTTATGGAAATGTACTTTCTAACCACACTGGCCTCCCTAAGAGCTCACTTTCTCTCCTTGTAATCCAATATTCAACTAGAAACCAAAATGACATGAGTGATTTTTGGTCAGTAAACCTGAATTCAGAGACCACCAACATGCCTGAATTATTTATGAACTGAAGTAGTTGTATTAATGGCCTCGCAATTCATTAAATCATACTCTGTATTATTCTTTTAAACGGATTAAAATCTAGGGAGTTTCAAGGTTGTTTTTAGGTGAAAGTGACAGCGTGAGTCTGGTTTGATTGATAGACCCAATGGTTTAATAACAAAATAAGAAGTTGTTTTTGATAGTATTAACATGTATATTTATATTATTATTTTATGTTCATTTTCAAATTTTTATGTTCAACTCTCAGTGAAATACTTCCATTGTTTAATAATATATATATATATTTATACTTTATTTATTTCTTTCTTTCTTTCTTTCTGTTAAATAAAACAATAAACTAATAAATAAAATCATAGTTTGGATATTAGTTTGTATTTATTCATTTATTTATTTAGTTTAATAAATAAAATCATA